ATTATATAAAATATTTACTTGAATTTGTCAGAACTTTTCCTCAGATAATTATAAGCATAAATTTTATAGACATTTACCCCTTTTGGCTAGTGTATTGTCCAGATGCAATTAATTGGGATGTCAAAGAGATAAATGTTGAGGATTCCACCAAAATGACTCTAAAATAAATGAAAAATGGATTATTTTGGATCCTATCACAACAAAATTCAGATGACCACAAATATACTTCTTTTAAAATTTTTTCCATACTTCATAAAATATAATAAATAGAATCAGAATAAATTACAGTTCAAAAAGTCCACAAATTCTCACTCTGCATCTCAAAACGCACATGTTAGAAAGAAGGAAAAAAATATGAAATGGAAATATGTAAAAAATAATATTCTTTTATATAGAAAGGTAACACTGAATTCTCACAGGAAGAAAATTTAGAACATAAATGATTACTCAAATTATATTCCTGAAACAAAGAAGAAATCATCCATTGGTCTCAGTGCATTGTCAGAGCTGTACATATTTAATAATTTCTAATTCTATTTGCAAAAAGAGAAAGGTTTCTTTCAGGAGTGGACATAAGATGTGGGTACCTATTTGATCAGTACTATTAATAACTATTCCATCTTCTGGAATCAAACAGAAATTCACCTCATCTTATATGATAATGCTCATACAAGAAACGGTTTTAGAGACTCCATTACGTGTTAGGCGTATGACTAGGTGCTGAAAAATACAAACACAAATATCTCCTCCTCTCTGCCTTAGGTTCTTCACACAGTAGTTGGAGGAGAGTGTGGAAATAATATTCTAGCAGTAGCCGAAAGATGTCATGGAGAGTCATGTCATGAATGCCTAATTCTACCTGCAGAGTTGAACAGAATCTGTATAATTGTACATATTGTTAAAAACAGATTTATCCAGACTTGATTTGTTAAAAGACATTTTTTTTTTATTATGTAATAGTTATTAAGATCTCACAATAGTAGCTCTATAATGAAGAACAGATCAATAATAAAATTATTCAAATCTTTTAGTCTTAAAACACACATATTCACAAACACACATACAACTGTATACACAAACTAAAATCCAATACATTCATATGTCCTAATGTTAACATAATGAATGCTAACATCAATTTCTGTTCTTTTTGTTGAACTTCATTTATTTCTGATGCTTTCCATATAAGGGTTGTAAGGTTTTACATAAATATTTAACACTAAACATTTTTAAACAGACAAAATTAACTGCAATAAAATGTAAACTATGAACCATGCAAAACATGTATCAGACTATTAAATTTGCTTATATCATTTTAAAGTTACAGTTGAGCAAATGCAGTTCTTACTCCTCTCCCAAGAGCAATTTAAATTTAAAGTCAGACCTGAAAATCTCATTTAAATCTCATAAGATTATGAGGCAGAAAACATTTATAATGTTTCTTTATATTTCTACAAATCCAAGGTGAATCAATGGGGCATTTTATTTTGGTGATAATTTGTTCTGGTTAAAAAATAATCATAGGATGATACAATTTGATGTACAAATAAAAAGACTAAACCAATATAATAAATATTAAATTTTTCATATACTATACGTGTACCATTTTGAGATAAAATAGTATTCCATATGCTTCTGTTTGAAAAGTCCCTGCTTAATTACAGTAAACATGCTTTCCTTAAAATAGATACATTGTAAAAATGAAATACAAGCTGCCATTAAAATGGACAGAAATCCTATGTGATTACTGCAGTTTCTAAATTAGTTGTTCTCATACTTCAATGTGCATTATCATCATCTGGAACACTTGTTCAAAATGCAGATTCCCAAGCTTTATTTGTGTGAATTCTGACTTAGTCTGGCATGGGTTCTAGGAACCTCCACTTAAAACAAGTTCCCCAGATGTTTTTTAAATAGCTTGTCTATGGATTAAACTTTGAGCAATTCTGACTTAGACTAGTCCTGGTCTAACATTAATGTATAAGCAAATACTCTGGAGATGCTGTTAAATGTAGATTCTGTTTTAACTGGATTAGAGTGGGCCTGAAATTCTGTTTTTCTAACGAGCTCCCAGGTGATGCTGATTTTGCTCATTCAAGGATCACACTTTGACAAGCAAGAGTTTAATTAAAACAAAAAAAACCCATATTTTAAATAATAAAACCAAGCCACCAAGAAAAGAAAGTCAGGGAATGGCAGTTAGACCCACCATATATTCACCCCTCTATAAAAGCTACAACAACACGGGAAAGAAATTGTCAAAATTAACTTTTTCTGAACTCTAGTTAATTAACAAAAGGCCTGCAACAATCTGGTTAGTGTTTGCTCAAGAAAAACTGCCAAATATTGGTAAAAACAGTAGAATTTGTGGCGTTATAACTTTTCTGTTTCAACTCCCATCCTCTTCTCCATAGCTCTGCAGTAGCCTTGAAAACTAGCAGCCTTTCAACCAAGGTATTTGTAAAAACCTGAAGGTTTGCAGCCACATGAGGAGATAGACTGAGACTGGAGCTCTTCAAAAAAGCCCCATCTCTGAGCATGATTACTGTTTTACCAGTCTTACAGCTCCCTGAAAAAACTCAATTTGCAAGGTGTTGCCTTTATTTGACCAGACTTAAAAGAAAACACATATCCCCAGGATGTTTTTTGTTTTTTGTTTTTTGTTTTTTTAAACCAGTATGAACTGTACCTGAGGCTGCTACATCAGTTGGATCAAATAAGAGCCTAACGGAACATAAAAGGAAGATCTGGTGAACAAGATGCCCATATGCAGGGTTGGAGTAGCTTGTTAGAGTCCCCTGAATATGTCAAAGATCTTTAACTCTATCCATGAGAGAGAATGATGTCTCACCAAACAAAGAAAAACAATAAAGATAAATTATGCGAAAGAACCAATTATAAATTCTGCACTTAAAAAGTACAATACCTGAAATAAAAATACACTAGAAGGACTCAACAGCAGGTTTGAGGTGATAAAAGAACCAGTGCACTTGAAAATAGGTCAAGTAAAATGATTAATTCTAAAAACAGAAAAGCATCAAATACAAAATATCAAAAAAGAGATTGAAATTAATAAAAGAACCAAATGGAAATTTAGGACTTGGAAACCACAATGACAAAAATGGAAAAAAAAATATCACTAGATTAGTTCAACAGTGGATTTGATCTGGCAGGAAAAAAGAATTTTCAAACTTGAAGACTGATACAGATTATGTAATGTGAAGAACACAGAAAAGAATAAAGAAAAATCAACAACTTCACACATACATAGTACACCATTAAATGCACCAATATATGTGTAATGAAATTACTAGAAGGAGAGAAGAAACAAAAAGAAAAAGGTGAACAATATGAAAAATATGATGAGTAAACAAAACTGGAGCCATCACGTTCCCTGATTTTAAACTGTATTCTAAAGCTATAGTAATTAAAATAGTATGGTACTGGCATAAAACAGACACATAGATCAATGGAATAGGAAAGAGAGACCAGAAATAAACCCACGTATATATGATCAATTAATTTATGACAAAAGAGCCAAGACTATACAATTGGAAAAGCTCTCTCTTCAATAAATGGCATTGGGAAAACTGGACAGCCACATACAAAAGAATAAAACTCTACCACTATCTTACACAATACACAAAAATTAACTCAAAATGCTTAAAGACTTGAACATAGGACCTGAAACCATAAAACTCCTAGAAGAAAACATAAGCAGTATGCTCCTTGACATACCTCTTGGCAATGATTTTTTTAACCTAACACCAAAAGCAAAAGCAACAAAAGCATAAACAAACAAGTAGGACTACATCAAACTAAAATGTATCTACACGGCAAAGGAAATTAGCAACAAAATGAAAAGGCAACCTACAGAATAGGAGAAAATATTTGTAATCATATATCTGATAAAAGACTGATATACAAAATATGTAAAGAACTCATAGAACTCAGTAGCAATATATATATCTGATTAAAAATTGGGCAGAAGATCTGAATAGATATTTTCACTCAAAAAACATGCAGATGGCCAACAGGTATATGAAGAGATGCTCAACATCATTAATCGTCAGGGAAATACAAATCAAAACTGTAATTAGATGTCACCTCACACCTATTAAGATAGCTATTATCAAACAAAAAAAACAAACAAACTAAAAGAACAATTTTGGTGAGTATATGGAGAAAAGGGAACACTGGCATGCTGTTGGTTGGGAAAGTAAATTGGTATAGTCATTATAGAAAACAGTATGGAGGTTCCTCAAAAAAATTAAAAAGAGAACTGCCATAAGATACAGCAATCCCACTTCTGGGTATTTATCCAAAGGAAATGAAATCAGAATCTCAAAGAGATAGCTTCACTCTCGTGTTCACTGCAGCAGTATTCACAACAGCCAAGATATGGGAACATTCCAACTACCCAAATGTCCATGTGTATGTGTATGCATGTGTGTGTGTATTACAGTAGATTATTCATCCTCAAAGAAGAAAAAGTCCTGCAATATGTGACAACATATATGAAACTTGAAGACATTATACTAAGAGAAATAAGCCAGTCCCAGAAGGGCAAATACTGCATGATTCCATTTCATTTATATGAGGAATCTAAAACAGTCAAACTCATAAAGCAGTGAATAGAATGGTAGTCACTAGTGGCTCGGAGGAGGATGAAATGGGAGTCGTATAAAATTTCAGTTATGCAATATGAATAAGATGTGCTATACAACATAATACCTATAGTTAAAAACACAGCATTGTTCACCTAAACATTTGTTAAGAGGGTAAATCTCATGTTAGGCATTCTTACCACAAAAAAAAAAAAAGGACTATAAGAAAACTTTTGGAAGTGATGGATATGTTTATTACCTTGATTGCTGTGATAGTACCATGGTTGTAGGCATATGTCCAAACTCATCAAATTGTATATATTAAACATGTGCAAAAATACATTTTTGTATATCAATTGTACCTTAATAAAGATTTTTTTAAGATAAAGAAAAATAGAGAATATCAAGGAAACCAGAAGAAGGCTCTTTGAACAGATCAACAACACTGACAAACTTTTACCTAGACTGATGAAGAATAGAGAGAAAAATCAAATTACTAAAAGAAGGGATGGAAGCAGGGCTGTCACTACTGACTTTCTGGGGGGAAAAAGGCATTATATGAGAATACTATGAAAACTTCTGTGCCAAAAATTAGGTAATTTAGAGGAAGTGCACAAATTCCTAAAATGGCGCAAACTATCAATACTGATTCAAGAAGAAATAGGAAATCTGATTAGGTCCATAACAAGCAGAGATAGAATTAGTAATGAAATAAACTTTCCGCAAAGTTCAGACCCAGACGGCTTAAATTTTGAGTACTTCCAAATGTTAAAGGAATACCAATCTTTCATAAACTCTTCCAAAAAAAAGGATCATTTCCTAAATCATTCTCTGAGGCTAGTATTAATGATACAAAAAACAGATAAAAACATCAGAAGAAAAGGGAATTCCATGATTAAATCCTACAATTATAAACGCAAAATACTAGCACACCAAAACTTACAACAAGTAAAAAAGCATTAAGGAGCAATAACTATTTAAAAAAGAAGAATTTGAAAACCAATGATCTGGTAGACAGAGGCATGGGAGATCATCGTGTTTCTGTTAAATCTATACTGGGTTGCCTTTTTTGTTGAAAGTAATGTTAAATTTTCATAAAAAATGTTCAAATCTGGTCACTGCATATAATTTTGGAGCAATATATGGAAATTTTTATTTTATTTTACATTTAATTTGAGATTATTAATAATAACTAAATTCCAATCATTTTTAAGTATAATATTAAGAACTAGGTCACTTATTTTTATACTGTTTATTTATAACAAAAATAGTCTCTATATGAATTAATTGGCATTAAATTTACTTTCTTATCTACTCCATTATTTTAAAATTTTTAAGTAATATATGCCTATTATAAAATATTGATTTTACAAATTTTGCAATTGATTTTAAAATTTTAGTTTATATGCCCATTGCCTAAAATCAAGGGCCACATTCATACAAAGAAGGAAGGAGTCAAATTACCCTAATTAACAATCTTTATCTTTTACCAAACCATGCACCCAGTGCAAGAAATACCAATTTTAATTTAATCTAAGATAAACCCTAAAGTAACAATAACATACTATGATTTTTTGAGGAACATACATCTATTATATTCTACTAATGTTTAGAACTTCGAGATTTTCTTTCAGTTCTACCACTAGAATGCAAAGCTAAATTTGTTTGATCCTGATTTCCTCTGAAAAACTGCAGTCAGTGATTTGGTTCATTTAAGGGCATTTTTTAATATTGGATTAATGTCACAAATTTTAACATTTTTTTCTTCCTTACACTCCAATACAATACTTTAATAAAATTACAGTAAATAAAATTCTCCCTCACTGAACTTAGGAACCATAAATTCACCAATAACAGTTGTAACAAGAGAATGTTTGTTCTATCAACAATAAACGATATTATTAATCAGAAACTACCAAAGCCTAGACATATAGTGATTTAAAAAACTGGATATTATCAAATATTAATAAGCATACATCCAACTTAAGGTCTCAATACAAGTATTATTGTGAAAGTCTGATTTCTAAAGCTGATGGAAAGAGAGTTCATAATTTAAGCAGTATATAAGGTATCATTGTCCATCTTCTCCCTCGATATGTAAATTTATAGAAAGATATTTTTCTACTGTAACCTTAAATAATTAAGTATTTTATTCTGTTTTCATCTCAAATCTATGTTGTTGCTATTGTTGTTATTAAATCTCAAGATGCACAAACGTACACTTAATGTGTAATTTTAATAAATCATGATGTCTTAAGTAAAAATAAATTTTCTGCTGGAATCAGTATTTCACTTTTGGAAATTAACAGATAGAATAAAATTAGAAGTAAAGTCTATTAATTATATATATTTTTTAATTGAAAGAACAGTAAATCTCAACAGAAAGCTTAGAGATAAATTAACAAATTTGATATAATCAGTCTTAGCCTTATAGAGATCAAATAGCATTTCAAGGAAAATTCATTTACCTTTATTATTTGTTCTATTTTATCTGATAATGCTTATAAAATTTATAGCCATGTAAATAAATGAAATTTCTCCTTGAAATAGTTCATGTTGAAGAAAATTACATATTTCCCTTAAGGTTGGATATGGCTAACTGCAGTGAATTTACACTAAAACAGTAACTTACCTGAAATCTCCAGCCGTGTGAAAGGTATTTTTAACCTTCACAGTGACTTGTTTCCATTTATAACATGGAGATTTGCATTTTATAATTTCCTAAGGTAAAAAATAAATAAATAAAACATACTAAATGGTAAGAACAAAAAAGAACAACCTGAATTATAAAATATAACTTAAAGTATCTAAAAACCTGCCCATTTAAATATTATAATATTAATTTATATAATTCCCATTTTCCCATAAATATTGTATTGCTAAAATCTGAGTGGGAAAGAATAAAAGTAGATATTACCTTATCACTGATCCAGAGTACTGTGCTAACAACTGAACTGATTTCCTTAAAATAATTTTGTTAATAACTGAGTATGATTTCTCATTTGCAAATTACAAACACACACACACACACACATATACACCTAACACATATGACATAAGAAAGAGGCAAGTATGTGTCTGTGCACAGATGTGTAAGTGCATGAATATGTTTGTATGTGTGTGAGTGTGGCATACCTGTGTTTATAATGCTGTGGCTACACTGACATATTTGTACTATAATAAAAGCACAAATATAAAATTTAAAATTCAATTACCCAAAAAACTTCCATAGAGGAAAAGATTCTAAGAATTCTACATTTAGAATGATCGTGTTCTTATCTTCTTTTATTTCTCCATTATTACCCAATCTACCTCCTAGTGACTAAGACCACAAGCAGCCAGATGGGGAAGTAAACAGAGATTGTATGAGTTTCAAATGTCAGCTTTTCTACCCCACAGCCATATTAATGACAGGTTAAAACCTTCTGTGTCCCTTAGATACATGTGGCCAAGCAATGTTTTTGTTTGAGACAATTTGTGTGAGAGTGCTGGGAAGTGTACAAGTTCATTATTCAAGAGGAAATCAGAAGATCACATACAACACACATCTCAGCGACAATCAAATGCCTGCTTCCTGTTCCAGGTGTCATCATCTGATAAGCCAGTCTGTCCATGTGAGCATCTTAACGCTCTCTCACATAGCTGGCCATTACTAGTCATTCTCTTTACTTCCTACTCATGTCACTGTACACCTAAAATTCTCTATAATCCATATGGATATCAGGCAACATAACAAATTTACTTCTTCGGTATATACCCACAGCAGGAAATAATATTTAGACAAAATAATGACTACAAAAAGTCATCATAGCAATGTCACAACCATTTTATAGAAATTTAAAAAAAACCTTTCTCCCTCATCCTTTGTGATATAAACAGTAAGAATTCAAAAACATCATCACCTCTCAATAAATGCCAGTCTTAGTATTATTTTTACAATGGATTCGATTTACAGGACACTCAAGATAAATTAAGGAATGTTCCCATCAGAGAAAAGAAATATTTTCTCTTCACCAATCTTTAATTCAAACAAAAACAGACACAGGCCCAGGGACTGTTTTAACTTAAATCACAAGTCTCCATGGCAGAAGGGTATGTAGGTTGCTATGTGTATAGTGACTGACTCCTTCAAAAAAGCACAAATGTACAGTAATCCTAAAATTCTGACTTTAAATTAACAACCAGTACAAGTCCTTTCAAATTCTATTATGAAACTGAAGACTTATTTCCACAGAAAAAAATATCATAGTAAGAATATCAGAGACATAGAAGCCAAACTCCATGGCCTGAGAAGAGAAGCAAAGACATACAAAATAGGTAAAATTTACTTACAATGGCTTTAAAATTGTGGACTTTACCCTTAAGAGCAAAAATCATTGTAGTGCCTCCTGTTGCATTCTTAGGTTTTGAAATTAATAGCAGTGAAGCTTCGGCAGGATGGAGGAAGTGACTGGTGAATTTCAGAGTGATATTGATTTCGTTTCTATTTGATAAAAGAAAAAATATATATTTTATTGAAAAAAGACAACTGACAGGCACTTATTCAGTGTAGACTATGTGCCCAGTGCAATATGCTCACTTCTACAATAAAATTAAAGACTGTTGCAGATCTCAGGAAACCCATAATCTAGTTATTGTTATCAGTTAAAATATCTTGATCCATCTGCATGTCTTCTTTGGAAAAATGTTTATTTAAGTCCTCTGCCTATTTTTTAATCAGATTGTTTGTTTTCTTGGTGTTAAATTATTGAGTTCCTTACATATTTTGCTATAAACCCCTTATCAACAGACCTATGAAAAAATGCTCAATATCACTAAGCATCAGGGAAATGTATATTAAAACTACAAGATATCACTCCACACTGTCAGAATGGCTATCATTAATAAATCAACAAATAAACAAGTGTTGACAAAGATGTGCAGAAAAGGGAACCCTTGTGTACTGTTGGTGGGATTATAAATTGATGCATCCACTATGGAAAACAGTATGGAGGTTCCTCAAAAAATTAAAAATAGAACTACCATTTGACCCAGAAATTCCACTTCTGGATATTTAGCCAAAAAATTCCAAAATATTAATTCGAAAAGACATATGCACTATGTTCATTGCAGCATTATTTATAATAGCCAAGATATGGAATCAATCTAAGTTTCTATCGATAGACAAATGGATAAAGAAGAGTTGGTACATGTATATATTGGAATTTGAGCCATAAAAAGAGTAAATTCTTTCCATTTGAGACAACATGGATAAACCTAAAGGGTATTATGCTAAACGAAATAAGTCAAACAAAGAAAGACAAATGCCATATGCTCTCGCTAATGTATGGAATCTAAAAAACAAAATAAACAAACAAAACAGAAATAAGCTCATAGATATAGAGAACAAATTGATGGTCACCAGATGGGAGGGATTTGGGTGATGGATGAAAAAGGTAAAAGAGATTAAAAAGTATAAACTGTCAGTATAAAAGTAGTCATGGAGATGTAAGGTACAGCATAAGTAATAGAGTCAATAATACTGAAATAACTATGTATGATGTCAAATGGGTACTAGTCTTACTGGGGTGATCACTTTGTAAGGTATATAAATGTCTAATCACTGTGTTGTATATCTGAAACTAACAACTTTTATGTCAACTGTAAATGGAAAATAAATTAATTTAAAAAAATCTTGATACAGTCTGTAAAATCTAAAGTTAACTTCAAAATGTATGTATAATCTACCAAATATTGGATTTTCTAATAGCTAGCCATAGAAAATCACATGTGTATTTTTGTGTAAATTTCACAGGACATTCTGTACTACCGTTTGAGCAAATTCTTAGTTATATCACTGGATTTTAGTCACATGGAGAAAAAATGAGAAAGACTAAGAATTCAAAAAAATATTTAAAGCTGTGGTTGAAAATAAAATTCAAATCTCAAATCAAACTAATGGTTCATAAGTAGGATGACTTTTACTTGCCAGATATAAGTAAAAGAAGGAATAAAGAAAACATGTCCATATCCATTAATCTTCAACTTCTTGTTCTAAAACACAGTAAAAATCTAAAAAGTCTATGCCTTGGGGGAGATTTCACTTCCCAGTTTGTAGGGGAATGACTGCTGAATGGCATCTTGGCAAACTTGAATGACAATACATAGGCCACATACACAAGGCTTAACTGCTGTAAATGTAAGTCTTTGCAGGAAGCCCTGTGACCCTCCCGTAACATAAGAGCATGGAGGTTCATGAAACACTCTCTGAGAACACTTCTCACTTGCCTACCTATCTCCCCTGAGAGGCTATCAACCAGATTGTTTCTAATTGCCTTCTAGATTCTGATGATGTCTGAGGTTTACTACCTAGCACCATTCAGGGTAGAGTTACAGGTTGTAAAACCAGTTAGTTTCAGCATGAAACTGACTGTCAGCAACAGTGTCCTACTTATGCATGATGCAGTCATCTGGCCCCTTTTGTTTTGGTGCTGTGCTGCACAAGGGACATGGGGATCTGGCCCCTTTGATAACTTTTGCTTTCATTGTTTATGTAAGTAAAGAACTCTCCAAATAAAAAATGGTTTTCATTGTTTCTTTACTGGCTGAACCTTTCAGCTGTGCCTTGCCTTGATGCAGCTGTGGGTGATAAATCTTGGAGAACTACCTTTGCTTTTGCTTTTGCTTTTAGCACATTCAGCATTAAATATCATGCCACAGTTATTCTTTGTACAAACTATCACCTACTGCCTTCCCCATGGATACACATATTTGGGAACAGGGATGGGAATAGATTCTCTCAGTGTCTAACTTTGGTTGAACTTCCCTAGAACTTGTGAGGAAATACTGTTGAATGGGTAAGTTTAAGGAATGGCAAAGAGTAAAGTGAATGGGGGACTTTCAAATCAATAGGAATATTCTCAAAATGCTTTTTAGTGAAAATTACAGCTCACATCTAGCAGAAGTGGAGATGTTTTTTATTCAGATATGTCATCACTAATCTTTTCAATTTGTGTAAAAGGACATTTTCTTGGCTATTATGAAAAAGCTCATGGACTTGAATTTAATTGAGAACAAAGAATGTTTAACCTTGAGATCTTTTTCTGGATGAAATAGGCTCAAACTCTGTATTATACCTGTGAGAGATTTAGGATTTTTCTAAATCTTCTAAAATTCATCATTAGATAAAAACATTCATTCAACCAATTGATATTTATAGAGAATTTATAATATTCCGGGCACTGCTGAGGTTTTGGGGATATAGTAATTAGAAAAAAACACATTATTCCTGATCTCCTGGATCTCACATTTTATAGGTGATGATAGACATTAATTATGTAATCACAAAATAAATGTGAAAATTACAAATTATGTGCTAGAAGTGGTATGAGATCACAGAATGGGGAGTATAATATAGTCTGAAGAGTCAAAAGAAGTGATCTGTTAAGTGGGATATGAAGGATGAGACTGAGTTAGCTAGAATGAGCAGGGGAGGAAAGAAGGCATCCACTGGCCTCTGATAGTATGAACTATGATCTGTTTGAAGAACTTACACAAGGCCAGTGGTGCTGAAGCTTAGACAGTAAGGGTGTTAGTGATACAAGATAGAGCCAAGAGCCAGCCATGAAAGATCACACAGACCATGTTAAGATGTTCAGTCTGCATCATAATGGTGATGGGAAGCTACAGGAATATTTTAAGTAGAAGAGTAACATGACCGAATTTACATTTTAAAATCACTGCCATTCTAATATAGATGGATTGCAGACAAGCCTTTTAGGAGTCTATTGTCACAGCCCAATTTAAAGATGATGGTATATTAAATTAGGATGAAAGAGGCGGATAAGAGGAAAAGATGACAAATTTATGATACATTAGGTAAAATCAACAATACTAGGTAATGGGTTGGATCTCTGTGGAAGTTAATGAAAAAAGGTGTTCAAGAATGACCATAATCTAAATAGCATGCACCTATACACCTATAGGTAAGTCCCATGAGACCAATTATAAAATACAGTATTCTTTTCATGAAGCCAATGACTGGTTTTAGGACCATGAAGATTTGAGTTTCTCTTGAGTATAGATATTCCTTTTATAAATTTTGTAATCATATTGAAGCATGTAAATAACCAGAATTCCTTACTGGATGTGTTAGAAAATTTAGAATAAAATGGGCAGTCAGGTCATATCTTAGGTCCCCAGACCATATACCATAATTATAAGTTTTATTTTAGTTTTCTTACCATTTATTTTCTTTTTGTTCCAATTGCCTCGCCCTCATTAAAAAAAAAAATCTCCTTCCTATCACATGTACCTCATAAGCTACTTCAACTTGGCTTTCAGAAAATATGGAAAATAAACATATGACACATCAATGTCAGTGCCCATATGGCTCGATGAGAATAATGAGGAAAAAAAGAAACAACGGTTTTCTAAAACTACACTTTCACTTTTATGACGGTCACTCTATGGTTATAGCTAAATTTAGTCATCAAGTTAGATGCAGAAATAAACATATTTGTTTATATGATGGTGTAGCTGTTTAATCTCTCCATATAAATGATATATCTGGGAATTTAAATCCACAGTTGGCAGACAGAGCCATTATTAATTGTAATTTAGACAGAATCTAAGACAGGATGTGGTATACATAGATAATTATATAATATCTGTAGATAATTATATAATATCCGATAACGATAAAACTATAGATCCTTTTTTAAGAAAACAAAAGTTTCTGAACTCTATTAGTAAAAAACAAAAACTATGAAATTATTTAGTCTAGCTAAAGAGATACTTAAAGAACCACCTAATAATAGTATTCAAGCCTACAAAATAAGATGCATCCAGAAAAGTAAATAATTGTTTTCCATATATATTGAGAATTAACCATTACATCTTCTGGGAATCCTTCCGTGTTTTCTTCAAGAACACTTAGGTGGCTTTGTTTTTTTTTTTCCCATTTTCCTCTAGTTCTATACACATACCAATACTACTCACAGGTGTTTACAATCCACCACTTTGAATTTAGAGGAAGTAGGGCAAATACCGGTTGCTTCTTATACATTCTAGTTGCAGTACTAGGTGTTTTGCCTATATACCAACATTTATTACTGACAACATAAATATTCTCATCCACATTCTCCAAATAAGAAAAATGATGCTGGATCACAGAGTCTGTACATGTCAGTAACTGTTATATGACATGATGGAAGGGTTCTAGGCCACAGTGGCATACGAAACTCAGATTCATTGCCTCTAAAAGAAATCTCATTAAAATTATAACAAAGGGAATTTTTAAAAAGCTGCTAGTTAGAGAAAACCATTGATGAGCATTTGCACAGAGGCTAATAAAGGAAACAAACCTTCCCTGTAGACTCCTGGAGAAGCCATTTCCAGAAATGCCTACTTGCATGGAGGGCAAAACAAGGTTCAGACAACCCTACTCTTCCTAAGGCCAGTATAGAAGTCAGGCAATTGGACATAAAAACAGAATTCTTTTCATTCTAAAGTGAAATCTGCCCATTGATAAACCTGTGCATATACATACTCACAATTTACTTTTTTATTGCCATAATATTACATATGAATGGACAAACAAGTATCACAAATCATTAGAGTAAATCCTTCAACGTGAAACACTGAGGCCAAGATAAACCAGTATAACAACTGACCTCAAAGATAATAAAAATAATACAGGTAAGAGACAACAATGTAAAAGAGACATTTATGAAGATATTATAACCCCAATTTAAGATCAGGATGCTATGAAATAAGGATATTCGATGAAAAAGAAAGTGCTCTTACAAATATATATGAGATTATCTTTCTATCTCTACATATATAATGACTATGAAAGGATAGAGGAAAATGGCAACTTTGGGGTGCCTTTCAGGGATGATTATCAGTCTTTTACTTTTTTTCTTTATACTTCCATAGTTTCTAAAGTTTCTTTAATGAGCACATACTGCTTTGATAATAAGAAACAACTACATATGATATGTAATGTTTTGTATATATATAAA